ATAATGCTTTAATTACATCATTTAAAAACTAAATAGAAAAACCATTTATATTTAACAATGCTAGACATCCAATGACAGGAAAAATAAAGCAGCATGAAGAACGAGCAACATGACTTAATTTAATCGTTCCATGAAGGCTGCTTCTTAATTCATCCATGTTTCTGTTGCATATTGAAAAATAATTAATTCACCAGAATGTGAAATGCATAATAGATGTTGTTTTGAAATAATGCATGTAAAATAAGCAGATTTCTTTAAAATTGAAGGAAGCTTCAATGATGAAGCAGCAGTCAACATCGCAGAGATGATTGCACATGCTGACCTTTAAGCAAGCAAATCAAAAAATGATCTCTCTAAAAGAAAACAAAAAAAATCAGCTATTGTGTGCTCATTTAACTGAGGCCCAGTGTAAGGTCCATCTCATGCTTTAGTATTTATCACAGCAAACACACCATAATCCTTTGTGTTTGATCCCACATGATGCAAGTTAGATGTTGTGATTCATGAAAGAAATTCCTCACATAACTCGTATGTTTTGCCCTGGTGTTACAACAGAGTCTGTAAGAAACTATGTTTTTAGTCAAGGACAGGAAGGTAGAGAAAAGCAAATAATTGTAGTAATGTATAACGGAGTCTTTTATTGGGTGATGCTGCTCGGGTGGAAACTTTTTCTCCTCCTTATTACAAGGTGGCAGATAATGTGAGGAATGGCCCATGGCCACAAGGTACGCCATGATCATGGTTGGAATACCACCAGAACCTGAAAACTTGGCTCTTAATGAACCCAGGCACAAAATATCTAGCTTTTTTCTTCAGTAGAAGTCTGGTTTGTAAATCCAGACTTGTGCAATAACACAAGTTTTCCTCAGACATTATTAATCACTCCATTTCTTATCTAAACACAAATGTAACCTTTTCATCTCAGCAACAGAAGCCTCACATATTGCAGAAGAAAAATATGTCTGCCTATCTGGCTGTATCCTGCCCCCCACCGTTTGTTCATCTTATCAGATCGACTGCTGAAAACGTCAAAAGAGGGAAATTTTAGATACATGACACCCTTTTAATATTTTGATCTTGTCGTTAATATATGTCCTTCCTTGGGATGCCATCACCTTAAACACAAAGACTAACACCATTTTTTATTTTTTATTTATAAGGCTCGCAGCCTCAGCTCACAGCCGAGCCATAGCATCAGTGTAAAGTCGTGCCAGCAAATAGTTTGTTTCGCATCAAAGGCATCATTAAAGCTGGAACCCCCAATGTTTTCTCACATAACCTCCAACAAAACCGAAAATTATTAACTAGATCGAATCTGTTTAATGTTTTTAAGCTAACAGCATGCAAAGGGATCCAAGAGAGGCTGGAACAAAAGAGTCCTGTTAACATAGCAGACCAAAGTGGCACTGCTTTATAATCTATGCCCACTAATCTTCATACTGGGAGCAAAATATACATTTACATCATGTATATCTATATATTAACATGGGCGCTTTATAATGTTGATCATTTATATTTCTTTAGGACCTTAACTGGAAAGCAGTATATGGGCTTTTCCTATAATCCTCTTTCATTATACAAACGTGACTTTGCCACTCGCTTCAAATAAGATTATAAGCCATAGAAACCAATTGCTACATATTATATTTCATTCTTGAATAAAGATATTGACTCTGGGAATCAAGCTTACCATGAGACACACTGACACCTACAGCTAAACAAATTTTTTTCTGCAGCTGACCGTATCTGGTTATCTGTCACCCATCAGCTTAAATCCATTGGTCAAACCCATCTCACACCATCCTGCTGAGCCACTGCCCTGGAGAGCAAAAGAAAGGGTGAGGAAGAGTAAAGTGAGTCTCTAAGAAGCGGCATGTGAAACTACATATTTGCCATGCATAAAATTTGGACATTAAGAACTCAAAGCAAAAACTCTAAACTAAGGAGTTTCTAATGCTGCTTTCGATCAATCGAGGGAACAGAAAAGCTCAATAAGGAGAAAAAAAAACAAGCAAATTGTTTTAAAAAGTAATTTCTACACACTTGAATTTAATTTAGAGTAATATAGTGTTGCAATGTCTGAGTGAGGACTTGAAACCCATTTCAAAGATCATCCTCTGTGCATTTTTTTAACCCATTAAGAGCCGTGTTGTTTACCATCATATAGATTGCTTTTCCAGATCTGCAGTTTGTTGATATTACAAACACAATTAGTCAGCTGCTAAGAACAAAATAAATTGAAATTAAAACTTAGACGTAAACCCTGCAGTAGTTTATTAAATTCTGATGGGAGCTTTAAAAGTATAACCTTATATACAAATAATTGTGGAACTTTCCCTTCTTCATTCTTCATTCTTTATGATTCCTTATCTGATCATTATTTCTTGCTTATATTACTTCTTTAACCTTGTCTAAGTATTTATACCTGAACCTTAAGGCAGATTTTTCTGTCGCAATCTCTTAAGTCACATTCCTTTTTCTTCTTTATCTTTCGCAAGCTTTTGTGTTGGATCTTTGTTTCCTGACAATATCTCTAAAAACATGAAAATAACTGAGATTTTTCTAAAGCTAACATGACAGCTTTTATTCATCTTTGTAGAAAAAAAAAACAAAAAACAAAAACTAAAAAACTTGCATGCATTGAAAAATAAGCAGCAGACAATAAAACTGCCCGACAGCCATAATTTGACCTCTGACAGTCTGCCGGTTGGCTGCTTTCTACCAACCAGCTATCATTAGATGAAACCAAAAACATGAAATGTCCCTCACTCTATTCCTGAACGGTTTTTGCACTTGTTTATCAGCAGTATTCAAAAAGGTCATGCCTGGGTCAATCTCATATTTTAGATTTTTGGGCAAATAATTCAACAGCTGTTAAGTTTAATACCCCTGCTACATCATACCATCTTTTAGGCACACATACTGTGCACCGCTGAGCTGATCCGTAACAAACATTTGGCAGGAAAATCTTAAAAATCTGTGGAAGCGACAAAATAAGCAGGTTTTTTCACAGAATTATATACAATTCACTTAAGAGGATAAAGTAGTGAAATTATACCAGGATATACCATATTTATTCTCTAAACCACTGTTTATTGAATAACTATTACATGAGTAATGCAGTTTTTAGAGACATCTGACTGATGCAGTGGCTCACTTAGATAATGGATCCTAAAAGGTTAGACTTTCTATAAATAGAAAATGCTATATGTTTTTTTAAGGTCCTATATAAATCAGCTTGGTTATATGCAGGTAATACATTCAAATATTTCCTGAAATGTTGACTGAACCAAACCTACCGTTATCCAAGGTGTACGTCTTTCTAGTTTTTGTTATGATTTTCATGCTGATGACTGGCTTGATTTCTCATTTCATTCACCTGTCTAGCTCTGCCCTGTTCCTCATCACTGTTCATCTGATCCACCTGCTACTATTTAAACTACCTGGTCCCAGCAATCAGTGCCAGATTATTCTTGAGCCTTTGATGTAAAGAGTTTTTCTAGCATTACTAATATTATTGTGTTTGCCTGATCCTGACCTGTTTCTGTATTCTGACTTTTGATCCTGCCTGTCCCTTTCTGATCTGTTTGCCTGGCCTGTCTTTGGACTCCTGTTTTATTCTTCTGTGGACTGAACCTTGATCTGCCTCTTGACTTCACCCTGTGAAATATCCTGCCTTCCTTCGTCAGCTCGGATCTGATCTCCTGTTCGTTCTGCAGCATTCTATGCTTCCGCATCTGGAACTCTCGTGCAGCATCTGCTGCGTCTTGTCAGTCGACTGGCTGGAATCATCCTTGTTCTCTGGACATGGACTGAACTGTCAAACTAGGTTAGTTACTTGCACGTTCATAATCATCCTCCATCAGTATTATTGTGGTCACTAACATGTTGTTTCTCTCCTGTAGACGTTCCTGTCTTATACGCCCTAGCTGCTGCTACTGCAGATTTGCAACCTGTTTTTAAATAAATGCTTTAAGTTATCCCACTGTCTGTCTTGAATGAATACTGGGTCCCTCTGTTCTGAGTCATTACAGAAGTTTGCATACTGAAGTTTAAATTATTAAAATTTCATTCATTGCTTCAAAATACTTCACACAAAATGTTCATTTCCCACCTTTTTCACAACTGCTTGGATTAACTCTCAACTGTTGGCTGTCGCTGTTACACATTTGAATTTCCCCATTGTGGGTCAGTAGAAGGTGTTTTGTTTTTTTCCAATTCTGAAACAGTGAAAATGTGCATTAGACCAAAGCATCTGGAAGTTACTGCTGTCATAATGTTAATCACTCATACCCCATTATTGCCCATAGAAACATCTTTCTTAAGTGTTTCTTCATCCCAGCTGCTTAGCTCTGATCAAACAGTGCAACCAACATGGTTTCATTTTGTGTTGAATAATTTCTAACAGAAGGCCTTTTAGCACCTAAGTTAAAAAACATATACAACGCTACTCCAAACCCAAACAGATGCTCGGGTTCACATCGATACAAACAGTAAATCATAGTATTCTGTTATATTTTGTTAATAACCATTTAGAAAAAAGTGCATTCTCACATTTTATTCACATTATAGATCTTTATTTGCCATTTCTTGTTTTCTTTTCATTATATGATCTTTAATTTCTGGTCTTGAATAATAAATAAAAAGTAGATTTTTTGCATCTAAGCTTTAGTTTTAGTGAGAATCATTAAATCAAGCAATCATAATAACAGTCAATCATTGGAAACAAATGATTGTTTGGCAAACATGAGTGATGCAGAATATACAATCTAAATAACAGAACTTTCTAAACTAACAATTAATAATCAATTAAGTTTGAATCCAAATGACACTGGATGATAAATGTGCATAAAAGAGGACAATTTAAACCTTTAATGAAATGGAATGAAACATATTATCAGTTTTTATTATGTATGTCAAGTCATATTTAGTCATTATAAGGTTCAAATAAACCTATGAAAAGAAACTCTAATGTATACAAGTAAAACAAATAATCAAAATATTTCCTAGAAAGGTTTATTAGTCATAACAGATGCTACAGCTGATGCTACATTTTGTGTACAGATCAGAAAAATACAACAGTAGCTCCTTTAATGGGATGAATCATCCAAATGACAGCAAAAAATGCTGTAATATGGACCCTATTTCACAGCTGCTGTATCTGAATTGGTTTTAAAAAGACATTAAATCTGCAACACATCTGAAACCCAGACTTACTGCACAAGGCACAGAGACATCAGACTTTAGGATGAAAAACCTATAACCTCAGAGAGATAAAAAAAAAAAAAAAATGTTTCTATTTATTTGTACTGTCGCTGCTCTGCACTCTTTCAGGCTGGGCCCACAAATCTATTTTGTCATGTTTTGACCCTGAGCTAGGTAATATATCACCCATCACCATGGTTGGATTTCAGTGGAGGTTGTGCTTTCTACCAGGCTTTAAGACTGACTCATTCAGAAGGCAGGAGATGCAATAAAGAGTTAGGTATAGCTGTTGCATAAAGTATTCATGATCAACTGTAGAACCTAAAAGATATCTGCGTACCCTGTGGGAGCAAAGAATTCTCTCAACACTATCAAGTCAAGATAAACCACACAACATCCCCTTTTTAAATTTAGCTGGTCTCAAACACAGATTTATTTATTTTTTACTGCAATCTGTAAAAGCTTTTTTCAGTCTGCTCATCAGAGAGCAAAAATTTATTTTTTTACAGCTTTGCTTTGACAGCATTACACTGCACAATGCCGGCAGCTAACATCTTATCAATCTCTGCTGAAGTATAGCCGTATTCCAACAAGACATCAACTGTGTGTTCTCCAACTTCTGGGTTGGAAGCGAGACAGGGCTCAGCAGGAGTCCGAGACAGAACCGGAGCTGGCCGGGGGAACTCTTCCCCGCTGGAGTCCTTCATGAAAGAGCCTCTCTCTCGGTTGTGAGGGTGAGAGCTCACCTGGTCGAAAGACAACACGGGCGTAACGCACGCATCGGTTCCATCAAAAATCCTCGACCAGTCCGCCTGGGTCTTTGAAGCGAAGCGCTCTGTGAAGAGATGCCTGAGCTTCGGCCAGTCGTTAAAGCTCATCTGAGGAGGCAACTCTTCAGGGTCTAATTCTAAGCCTGAGGGAAGATAAAAAAATATACAAAACAAAATAGAAAAACTGATTTAACTCCATAAACAAAAGAAACAAAAATCCAACAGCAAAGTTATGTCAAATCAATCTGAGGGACCTTTGCAATGCATTACCATTTACTTTCTTTCAGACTTATCAATCAAATTCACTGATAAGACACTTATATTTTGTACTTTTTGTAACGTGTATTTGCAGTTTTTTAATTACCAAATATACCTCAAAAGTGCATAAAGCATGGCAGATTTTCTACTGTTCCAATCTGGATTATAAACCATAAACACATCCTCTTCCAGCTCTATGCTTCACAAAAAATAAACGAAAGATAGTCATGAGTAAAAAGGGATACAAACTTTTTCATACTCTTTCTTAATACATCTTCTACCCCTGTATTTTACAGTCCGCTTTCATGCTTGGGCATGTTGGCATTCGCTTTGAAAATTCTCGACTTTTAACCATTCTCTGGAAAGAGCAATGCATCATTTGTTTTTGTTCTTTTGTGATCTTTTTAAATCCATTACAAGACTTATAAGATCTTCTTTCAGACAGCTGTTATGATCTAACTATGGTGTTCACTCTAACAAGGTCAGGAAGTTTTAAACAGTAAAAACATCAAAGAAAATGTGGCAACTCGTAAAAACCCAGATAGAGGCTGTTGGTTTGGTTGTGCAAACAAAAGAAATTGCATATGCAATCAGTAGACTTTTTGAAGGTTATCTACTAAGATCGCTTTAGTTGCTAGCAGGTGCAAAACTGGTTCAAAGCAAAACCTTTAAAGAGGAAATTGCACATCCTGATGGAAGTTTGAGAGAGCAGAGTGGCAGTAAAATAACATATGAAGCAACAGAGTTGGATGCAGTGATGAGAATTATAATAAAAAAAGGACAATATTAGTAACAATCTTATTTATAATATACTTTCCATAAGGTGCATCTAGAAAGTATTGCCAGCATTTTACGGAAAATTCTGCCAAAATACCACATGTGTAATAAATACTCATATGAGCAGTTTTATTTAAAACAAGTATGTAAACTACTCTCCATGCACATTTTGGATGTTTTATGAGTGCAGATTTAATACTATTAGGTCCCAAATATATCACAACCATAATTGCATGCTCCTTTTCTGTGCTTGCTGTTTGCTTTTTATTAGTGTTGCGCCGATGCCATTTTTTGGCCTCAATACACGATACCTGGCTGTGCAGCATTGGTCGATGCCGATACCATCTGTTTTAAATTGATGCGTGTGTGTGTATATATGAAGAACTGCACACTACGTGGATGTAAAATAATTACTATCATACTTTGTCAAGCTGCTGCCTACCAGGGGCGTCTCTAGGTTTAAGACACAAGGGTGGCTCAGCCCCTAGAAGCATAGCGCGCGCCGAATTTTTTCAGTGCACCTGCTAAGGCGTTGTCTAAGACAAGGGTGTAACTTTGTGTTGAAAGTTGGTGGGGACGGCTCATAAGGAAAGGGAGCTACCTGCGCGACGCCTTTTTTTTTTTGTTGGAAAGGATAAAGCCAAAAAAATGCGAATAACATTTATCAATTTAATGCTTACAGTTGAAAACATAACTGTTACAATATTCACTTATATATTTTGTGCAAAAAATATCACATAAATCTAAACAGACAGTACAAATCAAATAAATATATCAATTTTGTAGAACATTTATTGACAGTCAATTTTGGGTCACTTTTTAAAATTAATTTACTTTTAAACCAGGACTCGGACAAGATCTTATGGGACCTTAAGCAGAATATGATTAAGCAACTCCGTCTTTCTGTCAAGAACATCCACTAGCAGGGTATCCAGGGGGGGATTTACCATTAGGCAATACTAGGCAGTTGCCCAGGGCCCCAAGTTCTGGGGGCCCCATAAAACTCTGTTTCCATGTATGGTTAATACAACTAATCCTTATTTGTGCACATTAATTATGTTTTTGATAAAAATCCTTTGGCTAAAATGCCATCAGAACGCTGATAAATAGAGAGAAAAAAGGGACAAGAAGAGAGGGACAAAACCTAGAACAGATAATGGATGTCTATTCTATTAACATTTCTCTATCTGTAGAATGGGTCTGTTTTATGGGTTTTCTTCTCAGGGGGCCCCCTGCCTGTCTTTGCCTAGGGCCCCAAATTTCCTAAATCCGCCCCTGAGGGTATCAATACTGATTTGATAGAATCTGGGAGAGCGGACTATGTTCAACCATCCATTTTCTTTAACCTTATCCCTCAGTGGGATCAGGAGGTGCTGGTGCATATCTCTAGCCACGTTCTGGGTGAGAGGTGGGATCACCCTGGACAGGTCACCAGTCTGTCGCAGTATGTTCAACCAGCTTAAAAGTAATCGGTAATCAGATTTATTATTTGCACTTTTACTAAGTGAACTTTCTAACTCCCTTAAATCTGAAATTCCAATTCCAAAATTGTTTAAATCTTTTATCTTTGGACCCCCTGCAGAGTGACGTCACACCTGCAAGATCCTATCCTTACCTTCCTGCTAGATTGCAAAAAGCAGCTTGCTCATGAGTTGTCAACTTAACACGCTAAATCTTAAATGTACGTGTACATATAAAAGAAAAAGGGGCGCAGTGCTTGCTACTGAATGGCAACACTATCAAAGTCAGGAAAAAGTTTTAAGTAAAGCCGGGATTAAAACAGTAGCTACAAGAAGCTTCAAATAAAAGGTGTTCTTTATGTTCAACCTAAACACCAACTCCGATAGACCATCAGTAGAGCAGGTGTTTAAATTTATCAATCACTGCTGCGAAAGCTTATAGCAGTGAAAGCTAATATACCACAGCCATCACTTAATAAACGCAAAATAAACAACCCTCTAAAAACGGAAAACTGTAATGGACTGAAAGTCCTGTTTTTTATGTGGGAAATTATTTGCGTGTGTTTTAGTATAATTCTGATATATTGGCGCTGTTGTCTGTTTCTATGGCAACGATACTGAATGTAGTGTAGCTTAGAGACCTGCATGGGTCGAGTTTTACCAACCCGCACCCGCCCGAACCCGTTAGGATGACTACCGAACCCGACCCGTCACCCGCGGATATCTTCAATTCAAATGTTATGGGGAGAGGGCGGAGGGGGGTGATGGGGAGAAAGCGAGAGGCAACAGATTCTTTTTTCTGAGTTTTTTTGTCGGGGTTTGTGGATGGTGAGCAGCGGGGAGATCTTTTTTTATTTTCTTTCTGAGGAGCGGCATGAATGGGGTTTTAATCAGATATACACAGCACCGAAAGCAAAATACGTGTACAAAATATTGGTGGGGACATGTCCACACCAGTTCTTAAGGAAGTTACGCCTATGATTGTTCAGATTAACTTGTCTTCTTTATGGCTTTTATTCGGTGCTTTACTGCATTTGTTTTGGGAAAATATGAGGAAAAAATAAATACAGAAAAAAAAAATATATTTTTTAAAATCGCAAAATAATTATAGGGTGGCTAATGCCAAAGAAAGGGTGGCTGAAGCCACCCTTAAATAGGTCTAACGACGCTTATGCTGCCTACCTTTGTGAAGCAAGAAAAAGAATGACACAAAGTGAATCAAATAGAAGTAGAAATAGACCTGTTTCTACTTGCTAATGTCTACTTTTGTCACTTTGAAGGGCTACCCACTACATGTGGGCATGTAACACATTAAACATTTGTGTGAAGAGTAGTTTATGAGTGTTAGTATGAAATAAAGCTGCTGGTATTTAGTAAAGCGGACTATTTATTGTGTGTGCACTTTTAGCAGTATCCTGGTGCTATATAAATGGTATTAATCTCTTTTCATAAAATTATACACACAAAACTACATTATATCAATGTTATATGCTTTTTGAGATTCTTGCAAGTTTAGAAAATTTGATTTACTGACCTATTCACAGCTTTTACTTAACACGTTCTTGATCCTTTTTTAGCAGCAATTACTTCATCAAGTCTTTTCCAATGTGATGCCACAAGCTTAGCACACCTATTTTCGCAGTAAAATATTCACCCATTTATCAGCTCAAGCTCAATCAGGTTGGATTAAATAGGTCTATTCACAGCCATGTTCTCTCTTTAGATATATTCAATCAGATTCAAGTCTGGACATTAATAGAGTGGTTCTGAAGCCACTCCTTTAGGCTCTTGTCTCTGTATTTTGGGTCATTATTACACTATGAGGTTAAAAACTCTGGAGCCGGTTTTTATTCTGGATTTTTCAGGATTCTGCCATTACTTATCACTGATGAAGGCCACTGTGCTTGTGGCACTGTGTCATTAAACCATTATGCTACAATGGGCGCAGACATTTTTGAGAATGGGTTTACATGTGACTTTTAGATGGTCAAATTATGGACAAAAAATAGCATCCAGTCTATTTCAGATTTGAACAATCGCTTTGCAGGTCTATCAGGAACTACAATTATTCCCAGTATTTTGCATGTTATGTTGATCAACATACACTCACCGGCCACTTTATTAGGTACCCCATGCTAGTAACGGGTTGGACCCCCTTTTGCCTTCAGAACTGCCTCAATTCTTCGTGGCATAGATTCAACAAGGTGCTGAAAGCATTCCTCAGGGAGTTTGGTCCATATTGACATGATGGCATCACACAGTTGCCGCAGATTTGTCGGCTGCACATCCATGATGCGAATCTCCCGTTCCACCACAATTGTCCAATTTCGATGAGCTTGTGCAAATTGTAGCCTCAGTTTCCTGTTCTTAGCTGAAAGGAGTGGCACTCAGTGTGGTCTTCTGCTGCTGTTGCCCATCTGCCTCAAAGTTCGACTGTGCATTCAGAGATGCTCTTCTGCCCACCTTGGTTGTAACGGGTGGTTATTTGAGTCACTGTTGCCCTTCTATCAGCTCGAACCAGTCTGGCCATTCTCCTCTGACCTCTGGCATCAACAAGGCATTTCCGCCCACAGAACTGCCGCGCACTGGATGTTTTTTCTTTTTCGGACCATTCTCTGTAAACCCTAAAGATGGTTGTGCGTGAAAATCCCAGTAGATCAGCAGTTTCTAAAATACTCAGACCAGCCGTTCTGGCACCAACAATCATGCCACGTTCAAAGTCACTCAAATCACCTTTCTTCCCCATACCGATGCTCGGTTTGAACTGCAGGAGATTGTCTTGACCATGTCTACATGCCTAAATGCACTGAGTTGCCGCCATGTGATTGGCTGCTTAGAAATTAAGTGTTAACGAGCAGTTGGACAGGTGTACCTAATAAAGTGGCCCGTGAGTGTATGTTCTGCATATTATAGCCGACAGAATAAAAAGTTTGTGCCTTCTGCTAATTTTATTTTAGACATGGAATCCACTTTGCAACTGGTTCGTAGATCAGCTTTGCAGAATCTATCAAATTTGCATGCATTTATATACAAGCAACCTTTAGAAGATCACAGCCTTAGTCTTAATCAAAGCCTTTAGGAGGTACACGAAATACACTTCTATTAGATTATTGTGTATTTGTCAGTCAATAATCTTACTAAAAAGCTTGACCTTTTCACATCTTAATTTTTGTTCCATAATAATAAGGTCACTACATAATTGCATTATTACTGTATCATAATCACAAGAGATGATGTCAAAGAATGTAGCCAACACTACTTATTTTAATAAACATGGGCAAAAAATATACCAACTGTAAACAATGGTTTTTTGCAAAGAAAGGTGTAAAGCCATCAACACTTTGGATCAAATGTGAGAAGATACTGCCATGAAAGCAGGCAATAAAATAGAATTCGAATTATGAAAGAGGTATGGAGCACTGTGTCTGATAAAAGAGCATTGGGAAATCCAAGAGTGTAAAGCAAGTGTCAGTGTGATCACCTTCTGTGTGTTAGAGGATAATTCTTTCAGCAGTTCAGAGCTTGCTCATCACCGCAGGCAGCAGGTGGGTAAAAAAGAATCCCCAAACACACTAAGATAAGAATCTTTGTGCAGTAACATGGTAACAAGAAAGGCATGAAAGAAGTAACTTCTTTTCAAGTCAACTTCAAGGAAAAGTGAAACTTAGCAAAAAAGTAAAAGGATGGACAAAATTACACACATTTTTTAGATTAAAAAGCTTCAAATAAAAAAAAATATATAATTCCCAAATATTACAAAATAAACTAGAATAAATTATGTTAATTTATATTGATATCAGGTAATGAGTGATGATTTAGAATCAATACAAAACATTCCAGTTTGATTTTTCTCATAAACAGAAACAATAAAAACAGATAAACATATAAAAAATGTTTTAAGGGAACAGAATGAATCATAATAAGGTCATGAGCTTTGAGTGAGCCTTTCTCCTAAGAAAGCTGTTTAAACTGTCTAGACAGTACATGTATGGAGCTACTTCTCATCTCAAAGAGAAGATTCAGATTGACAGCAGATTGACAGACCATCTCAAGAACACCAAGAAAAATATATAATAATATATATATAATATTCCATAATAACACTGCTGTTCTGGTTTATAATAAATAGTAATTCTGTTCGTTATATCCTTTAAACACCAATAAAAAATGACCACACTACTGAAACAATTTGCTGATGATGTGTGTATACTCAAACATCATAGAGGTCCTATGCCTTAAATGACAAAGTCAGCAGGAAATAACAAAAGACATTTTAAACCTGTTGCCTAGGAAACTCTAAAGAACTCATTCCTACTGAAGACCTGCGGTGCATTCTCAAAATTACAAGACAAGTGGATATTCTGCATAGCAGAGTCACAAATACAGTAAAAACACTGCATGTTGATTTTTCATTGTCATTAAAATGTATTTTATCAGTTAATATTCCAAAAAAAACAAGCTTAAAGACCATCTACAGCTTTAATGCAGCAGAGCAGCAATTATTTCATCTTTTTTATCTTTACTGTAGAATAAATCAAATTGAAATGTTTGAACAAACCTTTAAGCAGCTGATCATGGAACTCTGGTTCTATGGCACCCACAGCCATGTATTTTCCATCCAGGGTCTTGTAGGTATCATAGAAAGGGGCTCCGCTGTCCAGCATATTTTCTCCTCTGGGACGACTCCAGATACCAAGACTACGAGACTTCCATAAAAAGGAACCTGTAAATGCTGCTCCCTCCACCTAAGGACGACCACACAGAAAAGCATCAGTTATCTTATTGTTTACTTACAAATACAGTCATATAGGGATTAATGTTAAAATAATTTAGCACTATTCACATGACCTTTAAACAAGTACCAAACATTTACATAAAGATCTGATATCTGTAAAGTTATTCTTGATTTATTTATATAGATATAAATATTTTCAGCAGAATGAAAAATCATTTGAGCTTGAAAGGTTAAATCGTTGTCTCACTTTAATACCTGTTAATACCTTTGTCAGTACACCTCAGTCTGATGTTAAAAATGTTAATACAGTCTGTTCTCCAGACTAAGGAACACTGAAGACCCCTGCTCCTAACAAAAAAAAAGTAAAAAATTAATATTTATCTCCATCCACTTTTCCACATACTTTGACCAACTTCCTTATTCTGCTAAAGAGAATCATGAGGCTGGCCCCACCATGCTGATGCTACTTATCAGTAAACAAACTCAAACTAGCATTTATTTGTTAAACTGTGAGGTGTACATGTTTTCAAATGTTTGGGGCCTTTGGTGGTATGTCTCCATAAGCTTTGTAGATCTAACGATGGACAATTTTAGATATTCTAAATAAATAGCTGACACTAAGTAGCACTGCCAGACAAATGTCCATGATGTACAATTTAGTTAAAAATGCTCACCTGCAACTGAAATAAGTAACTCTAATTTAATGCTTTTTAATGATCCTTCAATGCTCTTAGAAATTATTTCAAGGGGCCTGGCTGGCCAAAGCAGACAAAATTATTTTCATCCACCCTTCTCAATGGCACCTGTTCGGAGCTAAATGGAAGTCTCTGTTCTACTTTGCTGTCCGTCTCACCTTCCGCTGCAGGAGCAGTCCTTGTCTGTTTGACAAATCTCAGAAGCTCTGTGTTGGATTCTCCTTAATGTTACTCATTTGCCATGCGTTCTTCATCTCAGGATGGTTTCCTACGCATAGATCCTCCCTCCATCAGCCCAGTTCGTCACTCCTTAAACTAAAAGCTCTTAACCACTTGGTGTTCCCCTGTCCGAAGAAAAACCATCGGCCCTGTTACTAAATTGTGTTTCTAGGCATAGCTCTCGATTCAGTGGCCATGATGGCATCCCTGCCCGCAGACAAGCTGTCTCAGATTCGTGAGATTTCTCAGTCTTATAGCTCTGCATCAATTATTTCCAAACGTCAGTTGCTTCTTTGCTTGGTCACCTTAATTTTGCTGTGCGCATCATGGTTGTTCCTTCATTTCCCGACTGCTTGACCTAGCTAACTCTGTTCCCTCTCTCTTAGATTAGGTTTCTCTGGACGAAGGTTGCCGTTCTGATCCTTCCTCCTGGGCTAGACTTCTTGTAAATGGAAGGGCAAATAATTTTCGATGACATCATTCAAACGCTGACACGCTCCAATTTTTCACGGATGCTGCCCCATCCGTAGGTTTTGGGGGGTTTCTTTCAGGACAGGTGTTTGCTGGTTCTGTGGGGCCGTCTGTTTGCCGTCTGTGGGGCCCGCTTTGGAGGAGAATGCGCAAATCCGCTTCTGCGACAACATGGCAGTCGTTGAAGCCATCTCTAAGGTCGCTCCTCCTCTCAATCTCTCATGCCATTCATTAGAGGCATAACTTGGCAAGCAGTCTCTTACAACTCCATCATCTCTGCTCGACACGTTCCTGGTCTTTCTAACCATGCTGCTGATGCTCTTTCTCGCTTTAAATTTCAGACCTTCCACATCTTCGTCCTTCTGCTGATCTCCTTCCGACCCCGTTCCTCCGCTAGAAGAACTCATCCTTAACTAACCCACTCTCTTCGTTCGTACTTACTTCCTCCGGTTTTTACATAAATCAGGTTTAGCTTCACTTCAACTAATTGTCGTTTCGATCCTTCCCGACATTTGTCTCTTTCGGATCTTCGTTTCCACATCGATCTTACAAATATCTTGAATCATTCTAAAGGAAAGGCCCTTGTTTTATTTCTATCTTACGTACAGATGGCCCCTTTTGCCCGTTTATCACCATGTTTAATCTGTTCAAAAGCGCCAAAAGTTTTTCCCTCATTTCAAAGCCACTTCGTCACGCGCAAGGGTTCTCCCGCGTCACCACGCTGGTTCCAAGACCATCTCAGAATACTATTAGAATCCTGTGGCTTTTCATCCAGTCATTATTCCAGCCACTCATTTAAAAAAAAAAAGGCACTCATTTCAAACAATAGGTCCCCCCATTTCAACAAATGAGGTTTTTTTTACTAGAAGAGTTCTGCCTTTTAAGACAGGAAAGTATAGCAGTTAAAGTTGCTACTTGAGAAAATACTGAACCATAGAGATAAAAATAGCCCTGTGATTCAAATTATAAATTGTATTTGGAATAAAAATGAGAGAACTAGGGGTGCTAAAAAACACATCCTCCAAAGACAGATATTTACATGGGAATGTGGCATATAATTAATTGACATATTACTGATCTTGCTGGATTTTATTCTGCTTTACTTCCATAAATTGCAGGATCTTTACTTTATTTTTGCCAGAAGATTTAAACTTTAAAAGCCTTGCCCTCATAATTTGCAAGTTAATTTATTTATAAAGTAAATGTAAACGCTGCTTAAGCTAATTCAAATGAAATTAAAAGTAAAATAAGTAGCCAACCTTATCACTGTCTGTAACCTACTAACACGGTAAGGAAAGCATCAGATGAGCTACCTGAGATACTAAGGTTACGTTTCCCCACTTTAAAACGAAACAAACATGGTGGTTCCGTGCCATGTTAATTTGTTTTTACAAAAGTTGCATGTTACGACTTTTTTCACTTTACAAAGCGCAGGCTATTTTAATTATTGTGATCAATTTGCGCCGTCAATCCCGGTGCATGCGCGCTTCATTTGCAGTCTGGACGCTGAGGGTAAACATCCTGCAGCTCTGACTGAAGCACTGAGAGGGACTCCTGCGGGAGCGGGGGGAGGCGCCCCACGGAGTAGGAATGATACATGCTTTCACGTAAGAGTCTCCAAAAGCCGCCATTGACACCGTAAAAAGTCGCCAGATTTGTCGCTAGTCGCTTTTTTGAAAAATAGTCGCTGGAGGGGTCTGAAAAGTCGCACCTGCGGCGCTGGCTCGCTCTGCCGTATTTTTTCTTCTTCTCCCGCTTCAGTCAAGTGGATGTGATGACAGCGGCGGCGGATGACGCATTAATCGCGCGACACAACTAATCGATGATGAAATCCGTTGCCAACGCTTTTAAAAGTGGATTTTTATCGATTTTATCGATTCGTTGTTGCAGCCCTAATATGTATATATATATATATATATATATATATATATATATATATATATATATATATATATATACATATATATATATATATGTGAGTGTGTGTGTGTGTGTAAATTGAGCTAGCTCTCACTGAATTGACATTATAATTAATCTACTGACTTTTGCAATCTTTAACTGGATCAAGTCTAGTCTAGTCTAAACAATGAGCTGGAGATGGAAAGCTTGTCTTGCTACTACAGAATATGAGCCTGATCAAACAGTAACAAATGACAACTCTGTCCTTTTTGAAGAAGTTGTGAAACAGAAAAATAAAAAGAAAACAAGAATTCGTCTCTACTGTTGAAAAGCTTTTCTTGATTTTCTAAACTAAAGTGGCAAAAACCTGCGTTTGCTTTGTGTGAACTGAAAGTAAGAAAAGAAAAAAAAAAAGAAAAAAAAATATTGAAAGGAAACTGAAAAAAGAAAAAAAAATATGAAAGCTACTTTAAACTTGAGAATGTAATGTGTTTTCAGACAGTGGTGCTGCTTTATGAAAAGAACATCCCTGTGGAGTAGAAGGGCCCTGCGACATTGGCCAAGCTTTAGAAGCATTCACTATTATTCTGTTCCAAAAGAAACAAGATTTGTGCATTAAATGTTGGCTCTGTGCAAGAGATGGCTAACCCTCGGAATACAGATCTTTTGTTTGATATTCATCATGAAAAAGATATGTCTGAATAAGTAAAAGGTTGCATTCAACAGTATGGGTATGAGAAGAATTCTGTTAACCTATTAATTCTGTTTGGATTTAAACCTTCCCCTCATCCAACATACAGATACCCTCACACCCTCCATTCAATTTCCTTTCATTTATATGGCCAGGACAGGCTTGAAAGCATCATTTGTAACTAATGATGAGATAATGAATGTTTGAATGTCTCCCTTTTCTCAACTTATTTCATGACTCGCTGCACTGCATTCTCTTTTAATTCCTCGTTCCTTGGTGCGCACACTGTAATATGTTCTTGATGGAGGCTCTGTCAAGGTTTTTACAATAAAACCCTCACCCGCAGACTAAATTCACCCTTTTACAAACAGAAGGTGCAAGCTAATTCATTCTCATTTCAATAATATTTAAAGTGATTCTGGAGAAAAAGCCACTGCACCCGAGTCCTCATAGTGTCCACCGGGTTAACCTCTCTCCTGGTTCAGTTTCTTGGGAAAAACATCAGGCTTTTAGCACCTAAATGAACGACTAAGTTGAAAGTCACGTACTGCCTACGTCTGCTAGCTGAACACAGGAGATATTTCCTAAGCATACGTTTGTTGAGAACAGTGATTTGTACAACAAAGTCACGTTTTCCATAAACCATATGGAGTCGACAATGTTGTATTCTGTTAGGATTATTTTAATTATTAATGTATGTGCTTGTTAAACCTTAATATGACCTGCCTGTTAATTGTCAAGACTAATGTTTTCACAAGCAGTTTATATAATTAGGACAGCTCTTCTGTCAGGATAAAAACAAATCATATTGATTATGTATGTTTCAAAGATTTGGGAACAAAAAGGGAGTATACAGAGTGGATTATTCTTAACATATAGCTCTGTTAGTGTACAATGGTTTTCCTTGATCTAAGAACCCTGAGTAACATTTTGATATGGCTGGAGCCAGTGATGTCTACTCATGTCTATGATGTAATGATGTAAGGATGTGGCAGGCTGTGTGTATAAAATGCTTCTTTGACCGGTATTCCTGAC